TGCCGGCAGCTCACGGTGGCTTTTCCAGGACCTTTTGGCTTCTGGGACCAATGGAGCTAGGGAGCAGGGCTGCACCAAGAGTCCTCTGAGCAGGACCTGGAGCTTGGGGATGTGGGGGACACATATCCCAGCACAGGGAGGAGGCGAGAGCATCCCTGGAATCACTGGCTGCCCTGTGGAACAGCCATAAAGCAGCACCTGGAGATGCCAGATGCCTCCTTCTGCTCTCCAGGAGCTTGATGTGTCTCCTGGTCTGGCCAGGATCTCCCACGTCCTCACTTGGCGCTGCTCTGGACTTCCTGCTGCACGCCAAGCCACACCTGGGCTTTCCCTGGACAAGCAGAGGAGATAGAATCATAGAACCAACCGGGTTGGAAAAGACCTTTAAGATCACCAAGTCCAACCTTTACCCCAAGACCACCAAGTCCACCACTAAACCGTGTCAGTAAGGATGCTGCATCCCACCATCCCCAGGCTCCTGGCACACCAGGTCAGGGAGATGTTGAATATGGGCGGGGGGAGGCAGTGAAGAAACATTCAGCAGGGCCAGAGCAGCCTGGTTTGGGTTTAATGAGGCTCTGGCTTAAAAAGAAAAGCCTGGGAGATGCTGCCTTGGAGGTGCTGTGGGCTCCCTCCCTCCTGGCACACAAGCATGGGTCCCCACACGTGGTGGTTGTCTGTCCTGTGCCACCATCCTGGAGGAGGACACGCTCCGGTGCTGAGCCCTGTGCTGGCAGAGGAGTGAGGGACACTTGGGATGTGCCCTGGTGTGTCTTCCACCCCGTCCCCACCACCCGGTGCCCCCCCTGCTGCAGGGGGGATGCTGACACCTTCCTGCTTCTCCACCAGGTCTCCAGGCAGGGTCTAGCAGGACCTGCTGCCTCCAGGATGGCGAGATGGCTGCCCCGCTCCACCGACCTGACCCGCTTCTGCCGGAAACTCAACCGGGTGAAGACCTTGGAGGATGACATGATGGAGACATCCTTCAACAGATGCCTTTCCACCATTGACCTGACGCTGCTGGGCATCGGGGGCATGGTGGGCTCTGGGCTGTACGTCCTCACGGGCACCGTGGCCAAGGAGATGGCCGGCCCTGCCGTCATCGTCTCCTTCATCATCGCTGGCTTTGCCTCGCTCCTGGCTGCTCTGTGCTATGCTGAGTTTGGAGCGCGCGTTCCCAAAACGGGCTCTGCCTACATGTTCACCTACGTGTCTGTGGGGGAGATCTGGGCCTTCCTCATCGGCTGGAACGTGCTGCTGGAGTACATGATCGGGGGAGCTGCGGTGGCCAGGGCCTGGAGTGGTTACCTGGACTCCATCTTCAGCCACAGGATAAAGAACTTCACCGAGACCCACATGGGCACCTGGCAGGTGCCGTTCCTGGCTCGCTACCCTGACTTCCTGGCGGCTGCCATCCTGCTGGTCGCCACCACCTTCATCTCCTTCGGGGCCAAAGTGTCCTCCTGGCTCAACCACGTCTTCTCGGCCATCAGCATGGGCGTCATCCTCTTCATCCTCAGTATGGGATTCGTCCTCGCACAGCCCAAGAACTGGAGTGCCCAGGAGGGCGGTTTTGCCCCGTATGGGCTGTCAGGCATCATGGCTGGCACGGCCACCTGCTTCTACGCCTTTGTGGGCTTCGATGTCATCGCGGCATCCAGCGAAGAGGCCAGGAACCCGCAGAGGGCTGTCCCCAGGGCCATTGCTTTCTCCTTGGGGCTGGCCACTGGGGCCTACATCCTGGTGTCAGTGGTGCTGACGCTGATGGTGCCCTGGCACACGCTGGACCCTGACTCTGCCCTGGCAGATGCGTTCTACAGGAGGGGCTACGCCTGGGCAGGGTTCCTGGTGGCTGCTGGCTCCATCTGTGGTGAGTACAGTCAATGGTGGGAGGCCTGCTCGTGATGGGGGCTGGGATCCAAGGTAGTTTGAGTCTGACATGGTCCTCCTTCTCCTGCCCATCCCTCAGCGATGAACACCGTCCTGTTGAGCAACCTCTTCTCCCTGCCACGCATTGTCTACGCCATGGCCGAGGACGGGCTCTTCTTCCGCATCTTCTCCCGAGTGCATCCCCGCACGCAGGTGCCCGTCATTGGCATTGTGGTCTTCGGCTTGCTCATGGCCCTGCTGGCCCTTGTCTTTGACCTGGAGGCCCTGGTGCAGTTCCTGTCCATCGGCACGCTGCTGGCCTACACCTTTGTGGCCGCCAGCATCATCGTCCTGCGCTTCCAGCAGCAGAAGGAGGATGTCCCTGCGCCAGCCGCTGGTGGCCAACCCAGCCCCGAGCCCCACGAGGGTCCATCTGCCGGCGAGCTGAAGGAGTACGAGTCCTTCTCCGACAAGCTGCAGCTGGTGGACAGGGACAAGAGCAAAGAGCACCGGGAGCCAGGGCAGCTGAAGGCAGCTTTTGAGCCTTACCTGGAGTTCCTTAGCGACTTCTACCCAGGTGAGGTGGTCACAGTGGCCGTGGTGACCTTGATGGTGTCTGCCATCTGCCTGTGCTCTGTCCTGGTGTTTGGCAGCACCCACCTCCACCTGCCCACCTGGAGCTACTCCCTGCTGCTGGTCCTCTTCAGCCTGGGCTTCCTGCTCAGCCTCCTGCTCATTTGGGCGCACGAGCAGCAGCATGGCACACAGACCTTCCAGGTACGCTGGGGACCGGGCAGGAACAGTCCCTCTGCTGGGGTCGGGGGGGTGGGAGCAGCTCTGATGGACCCACAGGAGGCCCTGTCACACTGCTCTGGTGAAAGCACTGAAGCTCTTTTCCTCAGCTTCCAAACCACTTTTATGCCCCTTGTGCTCCCCCTCTTCATTCCAGCCCTGCTGCAGCCGTGTGGATGGTGACACCAGTGGTAACTCCACCTCCCTGCCATGCCCTGGCCTGGCTGCTCCAGCAAGGGCCACGCTGGCTCTGGGTCGCACCAGGAGCTTGTTCAGTCCAGAGCCATGCCCACCCCACCAGCCTGGCTCCCAGCTCCTGACTCCCCAACTGGCTGTTGTTCCTTTTGGCTGTCCTTCCTTTCAGGAAGCCCAGGATGACAGTTATTTGTCCCCCCTGTTCACCAGTGCTGGCTTTTGTCTCTGTAGTTTTCAGGAGAGAGAACATGGTCTCTAGGTCCACTCACCCCCAGCTCCTTTCTTCCCACAGATCCCCCTCGTGCCCCTGTCTCCAGCACTGAGCATCCTCCTCAACATCTATCTGATGCTGAAGCTCAGCTACATGACGTGGCTCCGCTTCGCTGTCTGGCTGCTCCTTGGTGAGTGCTCCC